AAGAAGTGTTTTGGATAAAGGCTGTATCCTAGGGAAAACAAGCTTCAAATACAAACTGCTGAAAGCCAACTCTTTCTTCCTGGCAATGGGAGGGGAGACCCCAAGGCAGGGAATTAGGTGTCCTGTTCCTTCACCTCCATGCTCTCCCAGTCCCACAGCAGAAAGCCAATTTTCCCAAATTCACTGCTGAGCTGCTCGGAGCTAATGCAATTCATCACTGGAAAGGTACTCAAGAGAGATTGCGCCACATTCTCGTGATAGACCCTATCAGAGCCAGTATTTCCAAGGTACGTCTTCTATTTTCAAGTCATTCCTTAGAACATTAGCTGGAGCCCAGCAGGCAGAATTCAGGATGAGAATCTCTGGCACAAACCACCCTCGCTCAGCTGGTAGCAGGAGGCTGTTCTTTGCGCTTGGAAGTGGTGCGCCATAAACTCTTCCGTTCTGCAAGTTCCTGGAACACCGACACAGACTGGCATTTTGCTCCCAGGAGATAAAAGTGTGAATATCTACTCCAAGGAAAACCAACACAGCAGTAGTCACACACCTCCCCTCTGCAGGCTTACCTGGCAGCGCTGTGCCATGCTGATCAAGCTCCTGCCATCTCCAGACAGCACCTTTCACGGCAGGACACCGGGTTTAACTCGCCCTGCTCAGATTGGTGGGAGGAGGAGTCTGGGCAGGGAAGACACTCAATTCCCCCCAGGCCACCATTTGGCTGGGACACCAAATCAACACACGCAAGTTTGCACCAACCTCTTGTCTCTGGTTCAGAGAGACAAGGGAGTTATTTATCACGGGCCAAACCAAACGAGCGATTGGGCCGGGACGCTCCTGCACAAGGGTTGTTTTGCAAATGGGCAGCTTAATGAAGGAAGTACAGAGCTGCTCCCAGGCAGGAGAGGTGGCACAGGGAAAGCACAAAGTCTCAAAGCTGGAGCAGAGGGGTTAAGCTCACCTTTCCAGCCCTGCTGAAGCTGTGTGCAGGGAATGGGAGCAAACAGCAGGCAGGAGGCAAACCAAGCACCTCTTGTTTCACAGGGAGCAAAAAGTGGTCACGATGGGGATTCAAGTGATGATGGAGCAGCAAATTCATATGAACGTGCACACACCCCGATCCTACCAATCCCCAAACCTATTTAGTATCTCTTAGGTAAAACATTTCAAGCACCTCAAAAGCAGAAGCTGTTTTGTCACAGAGGCTACTGGACAAGGACATCTTGTGTGTCCTGACCCCCAGCATCTCCTGCAGCTGATACCACACTCTGAAACCCCAGGCTGCATCTGAAGTCACATCATTCCTCTTCTGAAATGTCAGGGCACCAGCAGGAACAGAACGACTGGTAAGGAGGGCACAGCAAGAAACTGGATGGATCCAAATGGGAGGAAAAGAGGGGAACCCTTCTGTTCTCAGGGAATACTGACCATGAAGAGGCTTTAAAAGGAAAAGGGGATGTGAACTAAGCAGGAAAATCGATCTATTTCCAGAAAATATCTGCAGGTTCCCTGAAAATGAATATCCTTCATGCAAAGGTTTCCTTTGAGAGAGCATGAACTTCGGACACACTAGAAGGTTAAGAGCATAAGTAATGTGTTTTTTCACCTTTAGCTAAAGGTCATGGAGCATTCAAACAATTCCTCTGTTCCCAAGCTGAACATGACAGAAGTCAACTAAGCACCCCAACACTACAGCTAATGAATATGGAAAACAGAAATGTTTTCCCTGTAGCCTGGCCAAGAACCACTCAGTGCCCTTAAGAAGAAACTGCTGATTATTGGCGATTTTAGTTTTACCTCAAGAAAGTCAAACAAACCAGAACCTTTTCACCAACCTTCCCTCTTCCCTTTAAAAGCATGCACAGTTGTCAAAGCTTTTTACGAGTCATTTTCCAATAAGGCAGAATTAAATCCAGGGCCATTATAAAATATTGCCCATTTTCACATCCAGCCTCCTCAACAGCTGTTGGGACCAGATGTCTCTTAGTGAGGAGGAAAGAGGAGGAGGACACTCAAATGTGATTGGGGACCAGCTTACCCTGTGGAAGAGCCTGTTTGCTGCATCACCCATCAGAGCTCAGTCTGGGCCAGACATGTGGGTACACAGCCCTGCCCAAAGCTGGCACCCAAGAGTGAAACCAGCCAACAAACTTCCTCACTCAACCGGTACTGGATCTTCTCTGCCAGCTCCAAACTCAGCAGTAACTCAAAGAACATGCGGCTGGGAGGGGGTGCCCATATGTACAAAGCATGTTTCTGTTCATTTGAAATGCATATTTTTCCCCCCATTTAGTTGGATATTCCCTTGGGTTTTATGTGACGGGAGAAGAAAAACGCCCAAGTCTGCTTCCACTGCCTCCTGCCCCTTCACAACATCCCCTCTCACTTGCCTCATCTGTGAAATCAAACAGCTGCAATCCTTTAAATCACTTTTCATAAAGTGTCTCCAAGCCTAAAATAATGTCACGGCTCATTTCTGAGCTCAGC